AGGTTGAATAGTAATAGTAAGCAACATCAGGCTCTACGGTCACAGTAGCAGTGAAAGGATCTTGTTTGGTGATAAATAGGCTCCACAGTAATAGTAACAGACAAAGATCTTTATCAGATATTTGTAACTCAATAGCACCCTTATTGAATTTAGTAGTATCCTTATTACTTTATGCATGGCTTCATAATTGATCCTATTTGAAACTATTTAGATCTCGAAATATAGATAGATTTTCGAAAAGGGGAACGTTAAAGCCAGCTACCAGTTAGGGTTACTTGTTTGATGTAGTTAGGGTTACTCGTTTGATGCAGTTAAGGTTATCGGGTAATATAAATGTCACGAATACAATTTATGCGGCATGTGGATCATTATATGAATGTACCTGACTTTAACGGACCCTCAAAAAGACATAATACTGCCAAAATTAGCTAGCATTAGTTATAATGCAGGCTAATTTAGTTGGTATTTCATTCTTTCGGGAAAATGAATTTCGAGATTTCAGGGTAAGATCATATTGATCTATGCTTGGTGGACTGTTTTTGTATGCTTTAGAAATTATAGATTGGTTGGAAATTACGAGTTAGTTTCTTACAGACATAATATATTAAAATTTGTATTTATTTCAATTAATTCAAATAGAATTTTTATGTTTGAGATGTGAGTCTGTAATAATAGCAAACAGAATCCTATATGTTTTCCTGCTGTGTTTTTATAACGTTATCATTAAACAATGATAATTGTATTTTTGATAAATGGAATTTTAAAAAGATGCCAATACTGCCAATACTGTTATAGCACCGTACCATTAATGAATTATAATATCATCAATATTAATTACAGTAACGTTTATTTTTCTTTTAAAAAAAAGGTATTATAAAAATTTACATATTGCAAGTTGAAGTTGTCATTACTTGGGAATTGTGGCTAAAATAAATAAATATAAAGCATTTAAAATTTAAAAGAACATTATTGCTTTGCAATTAAGAAAATACGGAAAGTTCCGTTCCTGGTTTTGCGTGACGACATCACGCAGCTATCTAGTTAACAAAATAAATATTGTCCGAAGCGTAGCGAGGCCTTAATTGTATGAATGCAATGTTAGAAACTACCAATAAAATTCAAGAATTGACGGTTCCCGCGATGATCTACGACTGACATAGAAAAATTAATTTTACAACCCTATGTTAACTGTACGTACTATCAAAATTTGCTCAATTTTCGTACGTCTGTACATATTTGTACAATAGTACAGTATTAATTTATTAACTACCTGTATTGGGCGTTTGTCGTAAAATTCATTGGAATGATTCTACCACATTTCTAGTACGTACGTATGTACGTACATAGTTGAGTAGTTTGGTATTGCACTACCACTGACCGTTGTTGTGTTTCGAAATGTGGCGTTGGCTAAAATTATTAGTATGTATGTTTTCAAAATATTTACTTTAATTTAGATATACTGTATTTGGCGATTTCTATATTTAGATCTCATTATTGTATCAGCAGTTTGTATCAAAAAAAAAAAAACAAACCATACAATCTAGTACTAGTATATAACTTAGTACTAGCATACAATCTAGTACTAGTATACAACTTAGTATTAGCATACAATCTAGTACTAGTATGCAACCTAGTACTAGCATACAATCTAGTACTAGCATGTAATCTAGTGCTAACATACAATCTAGTGCTAGCGTACAACATAATAATTAAACAAAAATTTCAATAACGAGGGTATGCTGAGGACTTAAATTTTGTTAATTCAATCTGCTCTCGTAAAGGTGTTAGTAGAATTTATTTGATTGTTCGCCTTGTAAGAAAGTAATTGGATACTTTAAACTAATGGCTTTAACAATTTTCCCAATATTAAGAATTCATAATAACATACATAAACACATTTGTAAAATAATTGTATGTACAACTATGGAATTTGAAATCATTGACATTCAGCCATTTGTGGAATAATCTTTTCAAATACAGAAATGAAAAGTTTTTTCCTATTGTTAAAAATAACTTTATTAACATCGGATTAACGCAAGACTAAATCTTTTATAATGAAAAAATTATAGATTATTATGCCAAAAATTGATTTGTTTGTAATAACTATTTTCCAAATTTTAAAAGCCATTTGCCTTTTGTAACATGAATAAAGTTTAATTTAAACTCGACATCTCGCTAAATTCTAAATATTGAATTTTAAAAAAATTCCAAGTATTAAGTTTTAAAAAAATGAAGGCTTTAAAATATAATTTGGTTTTTATAACTATCATCATCTTGTTGGTTATTTTACCAACAAGTTTTACGCAAACTATAAATTATTCAAAAACTACATATACAGAAGAACTTTACCAAAATAATCTTACAACTTCACCTCATGTACTGTATATTCGTCATTACAGTGGAAATGAAGGTGCAGCAGTTGTTCATATCGGGCGCATTAATTATTCTACTAATACTACAACATGTATTGAGCAGAGACTATTAATTCGCATTATTCAAACAAACGGAACTATTAAAGAAATAAATTA